TGAGGATCGTGGAGCCAAGGGACGGACCAAATGTCGTCGTAAATTCTGAATTCTGTTGGCCTCCCGTCCCTCACTTTAGACATCAACGCTAAATTTAAACCAAATTATAGGGTATTAAATTAATATAAGGTGTCACAAAGTCGCAAACAAGTTCGGATTTTTTGCACAAAACGACAAATTATTTGCGCACTATTACATTACATATTTATTTGTATTGAATTTCAATACAAAATGTCTTAAATCGGAGTGTTTCTTCAAATAAATTGCAAAATGAGACTTAAATTTGTTTTTGACAAGTTTTTTATGTACAAAACCTGTCCTGAGTACTAAGCCTTTGAAGTATTTTTTGCAAAAAGAGTCTAATCGCCAATGGAAAATTTTAATTCGGTAATAATACTCAAGAATTGGTTATAATGATACCTGTTCACCTTCATTCATGTGGCTGATTGTGATAGAAAATCATACTTGATGAAAATGAATTTCCTGTCATTTTAATGAAAATGAGTGAAAGATTCAGTCATTTCAGATGAATGACTTTGAATGAACGGATTTCTTACTCCAGTCATTTTTCACCCTATGCTTAATACATGGGGCGAAGGAAGAAATGAAGGCAGATGAAGTGAAATGAAATGAGTTTGAAAGAAAATGAGTGAGTGTGAATGAAAATCTTCAGTTACAAATCGGGATACTGAACATTGAATGAAAATATTTTTTTGAACAGGTTATAATTTCAACCTGAATGAAACCTACCCTAATCAGATTAAATGTTGCTCCTGACTTCTCCATATTTTGAGAAATACCTTGAAATTCTGGCTGAGTAAAAATGACCACCGGCGTTTCCACCTGACCGAGAAAGTTTTCCATCCAGACGGTATACTCGTCCGGGGTGTGTTTTCCCGTTCCCGTGGCAAAGAAAGCGGTCACCAGAGTGGTATCGTTTCGTTTGGAGTGGTTGCCAGATTTGTAATGTCGGGTTTTTTTGCCAATAAAAACGGGTCGATTCCAAGATTTGTGGAGAAAATGGAAAGCCACAATGTAAATTAGGAAAGTTATCAGCCCAGCTGGAAAAAAATTGGTAGGGAAGTTAAACTTGAGTACAGTTCTGCTCAACAAAAAATTGTTCGCTCGAGAAAAATTACTGAAATTCACAAAATATTGAGTAGAAAGGAAACAACCGAAAAACCTAAACAAAAGACAAATTTTAAATAAATTTTGATTATCTATTTAGTTTTCACTAACCTTAGAGAAAGTTCCTATAATTTGGGATAAATTTTCTAAAACTTTGAACAATTGTCCATAACTTTAGACGAATTTAACCCAACTTTAAATTAATTTTTTAAAACTTCGATAAATTTCCCACAGCCATGCACACTCTAAGAAACCCGGTAACAAAATTATTACCAGGCGGAGTATCTATGTGACTCTACCGCATGGTAATTTATTTATTATTGAGTACTAGACATTTTGTTACTAAACCTGTAATAACCCTGGTCGCGAAATCTGAAAATATTACCAGTTGGTAACTAATTTTCTACAACTCAATAATAAATTAATTACCATGCGGTAGAGTCATATAGATACTCCGTCTGGTAATAACTTTGTTACCGGGTTTCTTAGAGTGCATTAATTTTCAACAACCCTACACAAATTTTTCCAACCTTTGTGTCATCTTCTCTTCTACCCAACAATGCGTAAATTTTAATTATTTTATTTATTTAGAGTTTTGTTTGTAGTTATTTAGAAATAAATATAATTAATTAAACCTGACCTGACAATAGGACAATTTTTGTCTTGGAAATCATAATTTTTATGAAAAAATTAGCACTAAATCCTTTCCCAGTCTTGGCTGCGTCTGGGGCTGGGTGAGTAATGTTAAATGTTGGAATATGGTTCAGGACAACGGTGATGCGTACCAATTAAGCTTATCTGGGATATGACTCATCCACAGACATACCTGAGTTTGACGTGAAAATGCAGAACGCATGTAAAAAATTGCCAATTGTTTTTGCACGCGATATTTTTGAGAGTATACACACTTACAGAAATTCTTTGACCCCCCAATAGAAAGCATGTGGGTTGGTTACATATGTATGTAGATTACCAAATTAATGACGTATTTCGGGCCTGCCACCTGTAATGCGACGTCCTGTGGAACCAGAGAAGGGCAAATATGCGTGAGGTAAATGAGACGGGGAATTGGGCAGAATTCGTACTTGTTATAACACGCACGTAGGCCGTGCATTGAAGATGTCGTATGTTTTTGTTCGAAAGCAGTGGGTGTGTCATGCAGTACCGTACCAACGGTGGTAGCAAATACCAGGCCCGGGGCGAGCAAGGGCCCGGGCCAGGTCGCTAGCCGTACACTAGATATAATGAAGTTTTTATGTTGACGACTTTGCGAAAAATATGTATTTGTCAAGATAGAACTCCACAATATTTATAGACTTCAGCAACCTTTCAAAAAATTCTATTTAACTTTTGGCGTTTGATTTTTTTGTCATAACGTAAAATTAAATACACGCCTAATTTTGAAAATTGTTGAAATCGTGATACACTTTTTAAATTTACATTCGTCTTTGCAATTTAGAATTTTTTCGTACGCATTTTTGAAATTCTGATTTTTTAAAATTTGATACATTGTCAATTTCTTTGAGAGTTTGCAATTTTTTACATGAATTTTTTTTCAAATTTGCAAAACAATTTAAAATTGTGAAAATTATTTGAAATTTTTGAAAAAAATATGTATTGGACTTACGAAAAGGCCCGGTACCTAAGCCAACATCAGGCCCGCAAATTTCAAGGTACGGCTCTGGTCTCATGCTAATGTTGATGCGGGGGAGACGATTCCCACCCACCCACCCAAATAATTGGGTGGAAATCCAAACAAACCTGCGGTAGTAATCCGGGCAAATTAACACCAGCGGTGTGCATATGTGGCTACACCTCACTGGATTTACAACCAATTATTTGCAGTGTGGAAAGCAGGACAAAATCGTGCCCTTGCTTTGTGCAGGGTCCCACAGTTGTACCTGGCTTTATTAAATGTCATTAAGTGTAAATACATACTTTGGCACCTTATCCAAATGCATGTTGTAGAATTGCCGAATTTGTGACGCTTTTCATGCATATGTACATATCTCCTGTCAATAATACGACGTCCGCTGCAAGCAGAGACACCCGAGATGGACAAATATGCGTGAGGAAAGTGTTTGTACGGGCATTGGGCAGAATTCGTGCTTGTTATAACACACATGCAGGTCGTGCATGCATGGAAAATGTCGTACATTTTGGTCTAAAGCTTTATTTGAATCATATGCTAATTGACACGGGGGATACGACTCTCTACTCAGGGAAGGGGGATATGATCATGCCCATGCAAGGATAATTATTTAGACTGGACCGTACTACCAAGTTTCACATTTTGAATTTAATCGAAAATACGATTGATATGAGGGTGGATACGTAGCATACATGTTCACATTCATTCGTTTCATGGTGAATGAATAAATCATTCATTGAATATTCAAAAATTGAATGAATATTGAATGAATATTTTATTCTGATTTTTTAATAAATGAATGTTGAATGAATATCTACTCAATTCGTGTGAATGATTATTTTCTCATCATTCATTACGCACGATTTTTTGGGGAATGCACAGCGTGAGCTCAATTTCGTGCATTTTTGCAAACTTGCGGCGCCCATAACGTGCTGAAAGTTGCGCATCTGCCCAAGTGCCGAACCAAATGTTGTTTGTAAAAACTTGCTCTTTCAAACTAATAAGGTCAAAAAATTATCTGGGCTGAACATGGGTTGCGCCTCCATTGTTAGTATATATATATATATATGTATGTATATAGGGAAAGTTGAGAAAGTCATATAATACTGTGAATTTTGGATATAATGAATCAAGAATAAATATTGACTAATTTAAGTATATTTTTAAAATTATGAATTAGTGAGTAAGGAATGAATATTTTTTTCAAGGCCTTGAACTTTTAATGAATAATATAAACGAAAACTAAGGGTTTTAAATACCTAAGTTGTGTCAGGTTGGGCTAAAGCATAGTTTTCCAATTTCCCAACTATTTTGACTTTGTGATAAAAGTTGCTTTGTTCCTTTCTTTTTCTCACTTGCCTGGTAAACCTGGACATTACCAAACGAAACCCTGCATATTTGCCGTTATCTGATACATTTATACGTATGTAAATGAGTCGACAGGTGCGAGAGCTCGTACATATAGAGATAAAGAAGTCCTACAAATGTTATTCCTGTATGTACCAGACGGGGAATTGTATTGGAATTGGATAACACTCAAAATCCAAGCCTTTCACTTGTAACACTCAGATTTATGTAAATTTGAAACATTTCAACAAAAAAGGATGTACGGAATTTCTAATTGATCATAATGCGCCTATTCATGTCTGATACATAAAATGTGACACAAGCATACAAAGTCGTTGTTTTAGTACTATCGGAATTACACAGACTATGTCTGCGTAATTTATCTGGGCACAATCTAAGCACAAAACCATAATTTTAGGATTATCGGTTCATGAGTGGCTAATTTGTGAACGAAACTAAATCGTTATTCGGTTGCAGCAAAAACTTCAAACTACCATTGACCTCATCAAGTTAGTCTTGCTTTTAAAAATATATTTAATCCAACGAGAGAGTAAAATTTTAAAAATTGCACAAACTGTCGAAATCGGGGGGGGGGACAAACCCAACCCGTTTCTAGAAGTTCTTCTTCTGGTACCTTAAAGTGTTAATAATTATTGTGTATGACTTTGATTTTAGAGATCGTTTTTAGATGATCGTGAAGATTAATTTGTAAGTAAATTAGAAAATATTGTGACGTAAGTAATTGTAATTAATTACCCGACTGATGCAATTAATAATTGAGTAATTAATTGGATACATATTTGCACTAATTTCCTGGAAATAAGTAATTACTAATTAATTACATACATACTCAAGCAATTAAGCAACACTGGTTTTAATCCATCAATAAGAAATCCCTCATATTCTCCACCGTAGCATTTCGACATTGCTCGTTTGACTCGTCTTCTTCGGCATACCATTTCTGGAAATAGAACCACCTATCGCCACAGTCCCGTGGGACTTGCATGCAGTCACAAACTACCCGAAATCGGTTCGGGTATTTCGTCGCCATCCAGTTGTACAGCGTTTGATCTTTCCCGACAAACTCGCCCTTGGCCAGTTGATAGTCATGGAGTGCGTAGAACGTCCTACTGAACCAGTTAATGGAGGCCGCCGTTCCGCCGAAGAACCCGCCCTCAACAAAGTTGACCTTTCCCAGTTCATCAAATGTGTTGTGGTCGGGGGGTGGTTTAAAGTTGGGAAGTTTTTGAACGGCGAAAATATTTAGTTTATGGTAATTCGGCGACCTGCGGGGAAAGAGTGTAGATCCTTCATTCTCTCATTGTAAAGAATTGAACAGAATTTGATAAGCTTAATTAGAGGTGAGTCGGTCACATATTTTGGCAACCCGACTCGCCCGACCCGATTAATTTCTGAACACCACCCGTACGAACTCGATTGGTCGGGCGGGCGAGTCGGTTTTAGTTGTGCCATTACCCTGTTAATTACCTCTAGTATTAATTTAATGCCCCTTTAAAATTTAGAAAAGTTACCGTTCATCCGCTCCGAAAACTTGGAGGGATTTTTCAAGACTTGGAAAGTTGGTCAACACAATTCCTGGCTGCCTCACAGAGCCAATGTCCATCCAATAAAAATACGTCGAATTGAACGGATTAGTTTCTGACACGGTCTGAAACCAAGGTTTTGAGTTCCACACAGCGTACAATTCTGGCGTATGGTTGTCTTTTTCTGGATCCAGGTCATGCATCTGGTGGTAAGTTTTGTTCAAAAAATGGGGTTCCTGGAGCCATGGGACGGACCAGATTTCATCGTAAATTTTAAATTCCGTCGGCCTGCCGTCCCTCACTTTGGACATGAGTTCTAAATTAAAGCGGAATTATGAAGAGGAATTTAGTATTTAATTAATTCCGGGTGTCATTTCTTACAAACTTGCAAATGCACTATGTAGCCACTTAATTGTACAAAATTGTCCAAAATGGAATTTTTTAGTCTCTTTATACATACAGAATAAACTTGGGGTGCAATGTTAAAAACTTCAACAAAATAAAAATGGGTTACTCCACGAGTTATGGTAATGGACCTGATGTCGAGAATTAATTTTTTTGACATCCTTCAAGTATGTGATAGAGGACCTTAAAATATGCAGAAAAATCATTTTCCCCGACTTTTTTAGGTTTCATTGCGGCTGCTAGGAGGGGGTGTGGCTTCCGTTGAGATACCACCTTTTCGCAGCCGCTATTGCACGCAGGGACTCCAAATTTCACACCAAGCTACCATTGGCCAATACTGTTCAGATTCCTAATATGTAGAAATCTGAGTTATAATGTATAGATTGTATTACTAGTTTAGTTTGCATTTAAGATGTAGATTTAGAGAATTTTACATTACTTTTACATTGATCTTGCAGTATATACATGCAAATCAATGTTTGTCTGCACGGAACAGTGCAAATGATGGCTAGTGTGTTACACTGCATCACTGTAAATGCAACCTCATCTTATGCAGATTGAATTGTCCAGTTTTGTAGTTTTGCTAAACAGGCAGAAAATGTAGTATTTAATGTATGCATGCATTTGTTCCAATGTTGAACAGACAATTGTGTGTATGTATATTATATTATTTTTAGTCATAAAATGAATGTACGATTTAGCATACACGGGTGCTTGTCGGTCCGTCCTGCAGTATAAAACCAGCCACGGACCAGACCCGAAATAACATCAAATACATCAGAGCCCTACAACCTTTGCACAAGACTATTTCGCATATCTCAACTTGCTTCAAAATGAGAAAGTGAGATTGCGAATTAAACTATGTATCACATTACCCCAAGAAATAATTAAGTAGCTAATACAAGAAGACGGTATGTATTGATTTTAACCACAGTAAATAAAACTCAAGGTTGCTATTATTATAAATATTAACCTCTCTGTGTCCATTGTAATAATTCCCAAAACTCCACCACCATCATTTAAACTTACACAAAATCATCCATCACTGTGACCGTTTTTAGGTCAAAATGTGCGTTATGTCGAATTTTTTCGTAAATCGTCTCACATAACCCCATAAATGGGGCATCGTTAGATAGGTCTAGGCAAGAGGATTAAGAATATATATACTTTGTCCGGCATATAGCTGCCCTCTGACCTTCCAGAAGCAGTAGAATGAGAATTTTCATTGCTTCCAGATTTTAACACAGTAGCAGATAGGCGAGCTAACATAGGAAGAGATGGGACAAACTCAAAAATATTTGTCAGCCTCAGGAAGACTGGGGAGTGGTCGTACACCCTACAAAATATATATATTCTTAATCCTCTCGCTGAGACCTTTCCAACGATACCCCAGGTATGGGGGATTTGAGACTTTGACTTTTCAGAGAAATTTGACGTGTTGTGAATCAGGACCTAAAAACGGTCACCGTGACCTAATTTCCAAAAAAGAGAAAAAGACCCGCAATTGTATTGGCCCATGGTAGCTTGATGTGAAATTTCGAGTCCCTGCGTGCAATAGCGGCTGCGAAAAAGTGGTATCTCAACTGAAGCCACACCCCCTCCTAGCAGCCACATTGAAACCTCAAAAATTCGGGGAAAATGATTTATCTGCTTATTTAAGGTCCTCTATCACATGCATGAAGGATTTCACAAAAGTCGATTTTCGACATCAGGTCCATTACCATAACTCATGGAGTAACCCAAATTGTAAATTGTCAATTTTTGGGCTATTAAAATTTTTCAGAGTCCAAAAAAGCTCAAAAATTCAATTTCGCAGAAGCTACTTATTATTTATGTATAGTGCGCAGATTCTTCAGAAACAATACTCCTAAGTAAATCATATTGCAGGAAATACCTTGGAATTCTGGCTGAGTAAAAATTACGATCGGCGTTTCCACTTGACCGAGAAAGTTTTCCATCCAGATGATATATTCGTCGGGGGTGTGTTTTCCCGTCGCCGTGGTAAAAAAAGCTGTCACCAGAGTATTTTGGTTTCTGTGGGATTGGTTTCTTGAAGATTGGTGACCCGATTTGACGATTTTTTTACGAATATTTTTACCCGATCGATTCCAAGATTTGTCAAGAAGATGAAATGCCACGAAGTAAATTAGGAAGGTAATAATGCCGACTGGAAAACAAATAAGACAAATAAAATTTCTGTTCAATTCAATTCAATAAAAAATAGTTCACTTTAAATAAAAGTTATTAAAATTAGTTAAAAACAGTTATATGGTAAAAAATTTATTGAATAATCCACCACTTTGAATAATTTGCCCAGTACTTTTAATACATTTTTCAAAACTTTGGATATATTTTTCACAACTTTTAATAAATATCCGCAAATTTGGATTAATTTTCTATAACTTTCGGTACATTTTCCACAACTTTGAATAAATTTTCCGCGACATTAGCTAAATTTTCCGCGACATTATCTAAATTTTCCAACACTTTGTAAAATTTTCCATAAGTTTGAATACATTTTGCACAACTTTGGGAAAATTTTCGACAACTATGGACAAATTGTCTATAGCTTTTATTTATTCTTTCCATAATCTCCAATAAATTGTTCACATCTTTGAGTTAATTTTCTACAACTCTTAATACATCTTAAACAATTTTTGATAAATTCTCCAAAAATTAAGTTAAATTTTCTACAACTTTTAACTATCCACAAACTTGGATTAATTTTCTATAACTTTGAATAAATTTTCCACAACTTGGGACAAATTTTCCACAACTTTGGACAAGTTTTTCACAATTTTCAATAATTGTCCACTACTTGGAATCAATTTTCCACAACTTTGGACAAATTTTCCACAATTTTGGACAAATTTTCCACTGCTTTGAATAAATTTTCCACTACTTTGAATAAATTTTCCACAATTTTGTATTATTTTCCACTGCTTTTAATAAATTTTCCACAACTTTCGACACATTTTTCACAATTGTGGATAAACTTTCTACAACTTTGGACAAATTTTCCACAATTTTAAATAAATTTTAGTCAACAGTTGTGCTATAATTTTCTTTACTCAGCCTTGTGTAAATTTTAGTTATTTTTTGTCTAAAGGGTTGCATTAGGGTAGAAATACATAAAACTAATTTATTAATTACACTCTAAGAAGCTGGGTATTGATTCTTAAAAAATATCAATACCAGCAAATAGTATTAACAGTTATTACTATTATAGTACTAATGTGCAGTTTTAAAATAATACTGATATTTAAAAAATTAATACCAGTAGAGTTTAAAACTTATTTAATACTGTAAAGTATTGATCAATACTTTTCCAGTATTGAAATTATACCATGTTTTTAATGACTCAAGTTTGTCCGTTACCCCACGCGTACCCGGCACATTCAACTCAGCAATTCGTCAACATGAGCTCCACAAAATTAGTTCGAGTATCAAATTCTTTTACATCAAAAAAATTAATTCCAAGTGACGGAAATTTTGAGGATTTTGTTACTTCAGGTAAGAAAATTTTAAATTTAGACACGATTTACTTATGTTAATAACTTATATTACATATATTTAACAATATTTTAACCAACAATCTTAATTATTTTTTCTAGTGCGAACGAAATTCGATTTAGGGAACGAAGTAATTATCCGACTTGAAGATGATCAGGGGGCAGAGGTGGACTCGGATGTTTTTCATATTTTATTAGAAATTGAAAACATTCCAAATATAGTCTTTAAGTTGGGTGGAGAAGAATCTCATCATATAACAATTAATTTGAATCCTGACGACAGGAACAGCTCTTCAAGTACCGAGTTAATGTGTGAGCTTTTTAATCGTATATTTATATTCTTAAATGTCTAAATATATAAGTACATAAATATTTATTTACTTTTCAGTCACCCATTCACCATCATCCAAAATTCAACGGCTGCAACAGGATGGTTTTAATCAGGTAAAAATAAAATTATTAATTACCCACAGTTAAAATATTATTATTAATTATTTATTTTAGGTGCTGGGTAATTCAATTAATGATAATCAAGAAATTAGCAGAGTTGTAGCAGATTGCAACACAAAAGGGTTTGTCGATGACAAGTCAGCTGTGATTCTTGTGCAAGAATTTGTTTCAAAACTTGTGGAGCTAAAAGGGTAAGAAGTATTTATTTGTATTTAAAATTCCTCCATAAAATATTTAAACTTGATTTTTGTATTTTTTGTAATTTTAGTGAATCTCCAAGTTCTTCTGACCAAAAGAATTTGGCGTCAGCAATTATTCAATATATTCCATGTTGGCGATACGCTGGGTCAACTGAAGGCTTGGTAAACCATATAACTTTTATAAATAATTAATTCATATTTAATTTTCGTAATTAAATAATTTTTATTGCATTGCAGGATATACTTTTTGATGAAATTGGACGGTCAGGATTAATCCAACGGAGATTGAGGACAATTCACCAAAAACTGAAAACCACTGAAAAAAAGAAGGAATTAAGGGCAAAGAAGACACAGCTTGGAACTGGCGGACCTAAACCGAAAACTGCAAAACTGGATGACAACGTTGACAACGGACAACATGACGAGTTAGTTAGGAGTTTAAATGGCAGCAGTGCAAAATCGGGATCCGCAGAAATAATTAAACTGGCGCAAGACACCCTCGAGCACAGAAATTACTTACGACGAGTCAATCCACAATCAATCCTGCTGGTTTATACAAAATTTGCGGACTGCGACTTTTTAGTATAATCCGATTAAATCAATATTATTTGTCAGTATTTTTAATTATTTGAGTTAAACATTAATTTTTATTTATGTTAGATCCGCTTGGAATTTTCTCTTCTTCAAGGAGAATCACAAGAAAACTTTACAAGAATTTGGCCGTCATTTTCCTCACAGCTGCTGGAGAAAGTGAAAGACTTAAAGCAATCCCCGTCTTTATGTAAATTTCTAACAGAGGAGTCTGGTTTGCAAAATACTATTTTTTAAAAATTTGGTTTATTTAAAACAAAGTTTTCCTTGAAATTTATCAAAATTCGTTTTATTTTAAAGATAATTGGGACTCTGAAGTAGCAGCACTCTTCGTTCTTCTTTATTTAATCCCCCCAGCTGCCCAAGGGAGAGGAAAAGGGAGTCGGTGTACAATTGATGAAGCAAAGAATTTGCTGATCTCATTTTATAAGGTACATAATGACTTTTAAATTAAAATGTATTCTAACTATTTTATTTATTCAAATTGTTGTTATGAATTTAATAACATTTTTTTCCAGACTGCAACTCCTCTACCATCCATCCTGGATACTTGGAGCGAGGATAAGAGACAACCAAACCTTTTGTGTCTTGGAGAAAACAAGAAAACACTTTCTTCCTTTTATCTCGTTGTAGATAAAGTACTGCTGCCAATTGACGCTAAGAATTCTGCACAAGCAATTGACCTCCTCTTCAAATCACACTACGTCTTCGGAGCAGAATACGACAAGAACTTGCAAGGCCTATGGAAATTTCTTCAAGTTTATATTTATAAGGTTGACGTGGACAGTACTGATCTTTCGGGAAAGGTGAAAAGTGTTTTTACTCAATTAAGTAATATTTTTAATAATCTCATTTAAAAAAATGTTTACTTGCCCAGTCTGTCAGATATTAGTTTTAAGGGCGAGTGAGTTTCAAACTCATTTAAAATTTGTACATAATTATGGACACAGTAATTTTCCTCAATTAATTTGCCCTTTTAGTTCATGTAATATAACGTTAGGGACATGGAGTGGATTTTTACGTCATGTAAAGTCACACGATAAGTTTCTAGAAATAGGCTCCCAGATACCAAATCTATTTTTGAGTCAACTTTAAATAGTTCCAATTTTAGTGAAGCTCAACAAGAAATTAATATTGACTTTGAGGATCCCAAAACTTTTGAAAATATCTCCGTTGATACTGGTATAAAAATAGTTTCAGAAATTTTAGGTAATTTCTGTTCCTCTATAATTGCAAGTGGTGTTAATAACTCTGTAATGGATGTAATTGTAAAAGAAATGGAATATGTATTTGTAGAAATTATTAACTTAGTTACTAAATTAGGGAAACAAACTTTAGGTGAACAATTTGACATGGTTGCTATACAAATACGCTCATTAGTATCTGGTTTTGTTAAAGTTAAGTCCAGCTATCAGAGGCAAAACTTGTACCAGAGCAGAAATAATTTAATTTTACCAACTGAGATAAGTTTAGGGAGCAGAATAGACTCTAAAATTAAAGATGCAAAAAGACAACAAGTAGTCGTGGAAGATACGTTTATGTACGTACCTCTGCTGAAAACACTTGAAAAAATAATCCAAATTCCACAATTATACCAATATTTCGAATCTATTTCAAAACCCAATGGACAAATTTTTAAATTCTGTGACTCTGAGTCATTTAAAAATAACAAACTCTTTTCTAAATATCCACAATCAATCCAGTTACAATTATTCTATGATGACTTTGAAACAGTTAATCCTTTGGGATCTAAAAAAGGGATCCACAAACTTGGGGCGCTTTATTTTATTTTACGTAATTTGTCCGATTTTATAAATTCTCAACTTTCGCAAATTCATTTGTTAGCTTTGTTTTATAGTGAAGACGCAAAAAAATATGGTTATGGGTCAATTTTAAAACATGTTTTACCTGACATTAAGATTTTAGAAACGACAGGAATTTCAATTGGGGGAAATATTTTTCGAGGCACAGTTTGTTCTGTCGTTCACGATAATTTGGGTGGAAATTCGTTACTTGGTTTAACAGAATCATTTAATTCTAATTTTTTCTGTCGAATTTGTTATATTTCAAAGGCTGAAATCCAAAATGAATTTGACCATAATTATATGCCGATACGAAATTTGACCAATTCTTGTGAATTAAATTCGCTTCAATTTTACCATTTTCTAGATTCTCCAACAGCTGACATAATGCATGATCTCTTGGAGGGAGTCGTGCCATATGAAATTAAATTAGTTTTCAAAAAATTAATTAGTTTGGGATGTTTTAATCTTGAAACAGTCAACAACAGAATCTCCGCTTTTGATTTTGGATATTTAGAATCGAAAAATAAACCAAGTCCAATAAAATTAGATGGAACTGGAAATAGAATCGGTCAAAAAGCTGCGCAAGCTTGGTGTTTAATCAGGTTTTTACCAATGATTTTGGGAGATTTAATTGTCGATGAAGTCCATTTAAAATATTGGGATTTAATTTTGCAATTATTAGAATGCATGAGCTTTATATTTTTTCGATCTTTTAATGAGTCATCAATTTTAACCTTGAAATCGCTTATAATTAAACACCATTCGCTCTTTAAATTTCTATTTCCAGATCAAAATTTGCTACCCAAACACCATTTTATGTGTCATTATCCATTTATAATTAAAATGTCTGGCCCTTTAATTTCTCTATGGACAATGCGGTTTGAAGGAAAACACAATTATTTTGCTCAATTGGCCCATAACAATAGAAACTTTAAAAATATTTGTTTTTCACTTGCCATGAGGCATCAGCAATATAGTTCGCATGTTTTCAAAAATTTAGATTTCCATCATGGAATTAAGACTGACAAAATTTGTAAAGCTACTATGTCTGAGTTTGATGATTCCTTCGATATTGTAGAATCATTAAAAAACTATTTAAACGATCATGATATCTGTATTAAAACTGAAATGATGACAACAAATCAGATTTGGTTCAATGGCTACAATTATAAACACAACTTTGTGGTTTGTTTCGAAATGGGAAAGTTTGGAATAATTTCTGAATTTCTGATTCAAAATGATAATTCATGTCTGCTTATTCTCAAAGTTCTGGAAACTGAGTTTTTTATCGCCATTTATTTGCTTATAAGGTTAGAGTAACTGAAAATTTGTACAGAGTAATAAATGTAAAAGATCTAGTAACACATGATGCGATGGAGATTAAACAAAATTGTAATTTGTCAGGATTATTTGTAATTTCTAGACATTTTTTGTAGTAATATTTAATTGTAAGTTATATATATATATATATTTCATGAAACTTTGTCCTGTAAAGTAGTAATAGTTATAAATAATTTTATTTATTTATTATAGCAGTAATTTTTATTTTAAATTTGTTAAAAGTTGTAATTTATTGAAAATAAAATATGATTATGTACAATGCATTTTATACCATCAATTAATGATTTAATACCGTGCAGTATTATTTTTCATTATAAAGGCATCAAATTATAGTATTATTTATAATACCGGGCAGTATTATCATGCTTTAACGTTTTAATACTGTACATTTAATAATCAATACCGAGAGTTACAAGACGATTTATACTGAAAGTTCATTGTTTAATACTATAAATTAATAAAGTAATACCGCGGCAGTATTACTCATAATAATACCGCAGGGTATTATATCAATACCAAAACGGTAGAGTCACCATATAATACGGCCGTGGTATTAAAATGGTATTGATTTTATTAAGAGTGTAACAGCCTGACCTGACATAAGGAAAACTTTTATTTTATAAGTCATCATTATTTTGAAAATTTCTATTCAATTAATATCTTCAATTATTTTTAAGCGTTTTTCTTGGGTGTGGCAGGGACTGAGAGAGTAATGTGAGTCAGGCGAAAGTCGCAAAAGTCGGTGGTGCTTAACAATTATGTAAGCTTATCTGTTACGGGTTAGAGCCACTTACCCGAGTTTGGTTTGTGGCATACGCAGAACGTGTGCTAATAATACTTTGTCATCCCAATGGAATGATGCAAGATTACCGAGTTGGTGACGAATTAAATGCACGTCAAACCTGGAATGTGACGTCTGGTAGAAAGTGAGACAGGAGTGAGTCAGTAGACAAGCACGTTTATACATACGTGGGGTGTTTAGGTACGTTATGCTACTGGCGTTTGACGTATGAAACATTTACATAAGCAGGGTGTCGATTTTCCCTTTAAAAACTACACGTTTTGTCTTTAATAGTTAATTAAGGCTTTAAGTCGTTAATAATTAATAATTAATAAATTAATTAATTAATTGACTTAATTAATTAATTAAGTGTTTAATAATTAATTTTTTTCCGGAACTATATTTCATATTAGTTATCGCCAGTAGAGACAAGTCGGGTTTTAAGGTTAGAACAGCCGATCTGGCGAATTTCTGGGCCCGATACACCAACACTTGGGTAGGGTCATGGGTGGGTCGGGTTTTTACGAGAATCCCGGTACCCTTAATAATGGCGCCGGGTCAAAAATTTTGATAACCCGACAAGATCAACGAGGTTAATTTCTGGACGGGACCAGATCGGGTCACGGGTGAGTCGGGGTTTTTGACCCAAACCCCGACTTAACTTTAATCTCCGTGAATGTCTTAACATTTTCACACGTAATGCCAACACTTTTTTGAACAACTACAATTATTTGTTCAGTTGTTTCATACATATGTATGCATGAATACTTGCGAATTTTAAAGATTACTTGAATTGAAATGATTGCCCAATGGAGAATATTAAAGTGAATTCAAATTTTCAAAATATTAAGTTCTAAATAAGCTGTTTTGCACTGCAACCAAAACAGATTATTTCTACATGTATGTTTCAATTTTTGCCAGGTCCCACCTATCTTGGGTGAGTGAGCCTATTTTGCCAAATAAATTTTATATAGTTTGCCCAGATCAATTTAGTTTTTGCCAAAAGAAACCCTGTATGTGCATATTTACATAATATGTAAATATGCACATATCTTTATCTGATGTACATACGTAAATGATTCGATGGGGGTATGGAGATAACGAAATACTGAAAATATTAGTCATGCACTCTTAAAAATAGCCGATCCCCGCAAAAATTAGCAAATAGCTTCCCGGACAGAGAGGAATCGAACGTGTGACTGCGTGGTGACAGTTCCGCCCCCGATCCCCTAAGCCAATGGGCTATTGCTTAGGGGATCGGGGCCTTTGCTTCTGAAATGAGTTAAATTACTATTAAAATCGAATTCGACCTGCGTGACCTTTTCAGCGGGCACAAAGTTGAAAAGGTCATGGTCTCACAATACCCCATAAATGGGGTATCGTTGGAAAGCCCTTGGAAAGGGGATTCAGAATATATATACTTTGTGGGATGTATGACCACTCCCTGATACCCAGTTACCGAAGTATAAGGTAGCACAATTTTTTTGATGGGAACAAAATTATCAAAATTTCAGTGATGTAGGAAAAATTGAAAAACTGAAATTTCGAGAGAGCTCGAAAAAGCTGTCGAGGTATGACTTTCGTGAATCCAAAACACCACCAATTTTGACAAAGTACCCACCGGTTCATTTTCTATGAATTTCCCCGTACGACCCTCATCGAAGGCTGACATGGCCATTACACCCACTGGGGTGACCTGACACCCAAAAAATTATGTCTCTTCAACGTTTCTCGACGAGGCTGACTTATCCATATACTTAAAGTAAACTTTAAAAATTGTCGTTGTATGTCGTTGTCGAATCGTATAATTCTTGCTCTTAAACCAATTTATTGTCCCCATATTTCGACAGTTAACTATAACACATATTTAAATTGCCAAAAGTAAATTAAAAGATGATGTGATTATTAAAGTTTCTTCTATGGTGCGAGTGTCAAAATTATAGGTTTATATGCAGAGCTTATTGCGGGCAGTACTTTACTTTTAAAAATCACAGGATAATTCATTGCACAATTTCTACAAATACCAAACAGGCAAGGTTTCGCAGCTAGATTGTTGAATTTTTTTAAATTCCCATGAAAAACTGATCACAGGTCGTGGAATTAGTGTAATGCAAGTTAAATTTTGTATGTACAAAAACCATCGAC